CCTACCTGGAGAAATTAAGCATAATACTTCAAGGGAAAAAAATTGTCATTCAATGAAATGGAAGAATTTCAAGCTTTCATAAGGAGAAGACCAGAATTGAACAAAAAAATTGATCTCCAATATCAAGACCCAAGAGAAGCCTAAAAATGTGAAAATGGAAAAGAAACCATAAGGATTCAATAGAGCTGAACTGTTTACCCATTCTTACATGGGAAGATGATACTTATAATTTTTAAAAATTGTGCCACTAATAGTACAGTTATAAGGAATATACATAGACAGAGGGTATAGGTATAAGGAGAATTTGAGAGAATGTCATAAAAATAATTAAAGGATGAGAAAGAGGAGTACACTGGGTGCAGGAGGAAGGGAGAGGTAGAATGGGGTAAATTATGTCACATGAAGAGGAACAAAAAACCTATTGCAGTGGAGAGAAAGATGGGAGGGTGGGCAATGGGCATCGCTTGTACCTTACTCTCATCAGTATTGGCTCAAAGACAGAATAATATGCACAATCAATTGAATGCAGAAATCTATCTGACCCAACAGGGAAGTAGGAGGGGAGGAGATTAAGTAAAGGTAGGGGGACTGGCAGAAGGGAAGGCAGACTGTGGGAGACAGTAGGCAGAAACAAAACACTGTCAAGGAGGGAAAAGGTGAAGGGAGAGAGAGGACAAACAGGAGGAAAAATAGGATGGAAGGAAATACCTAGTAATCATAACTGTGAATGTGAATGGGATGAACTCTCCCATAAAATGGAAGTGGATAGCAGAGTGGATCAACAACCAGAATCTTATAGTACATTTGTTTACAATAAACACACTTAAAGCAGAGAAACACACACAGAATAAAGGTAAGGGGCTAGAACAGAATCTATTATACTTCAACTGAAGTAAAAGCAAGGGTAGCAATCCTGATCTCTGACAAAGCAAAAGCAAAAATAGACCTAATTAAAAGAGATAAGGAAGGAAACTACATCTTGCTGAAAGGTACCATAGATAATGAAGTAATATCAATACTAAACATATATGCACCAAGTGGTATAGCACCCAAATTCTTAAAGGAGAAGTTAAGTGAGTTGTAAGTTTGTGACCAAACAAGAGATAGAGAGCATTAAGAAATACAAAATAGGTACTTTTTATTATATTGAATTAAGAAGCTTTTGCACAAACAAAACCAATGCAACCAAGATTAGCAGGAAAACAGAAAGCCGGGAGGGAAAAATCTTTACAGCAAGTGTCTCTGAAAAAGGCCTCGTTTCTCAAATATATAGAGAATTGAGTCAAATTTATAAGAATACAAGTCAATCCCTAATTGATAAATGGTCAAAGCATATGAACAGGCAGTTTTCCAATGAAGAAATCAAAGCTACCTATAGATATAAGAAGTGTTCTAAATCACTTTTGATTAGAAAAATGCAAATTTAAACAACTCTAAGATACCACCTCATGCCTATCAGATTGGCTAATGTGACAAAAAATGGAAAATGATAAATGTTAGAGAGGATGTGGGAAAATGGGACACTAATGCACTGTTGGTGGAGTTATGAACTGATCCAACCATTCTGAAGAGCAATTTGGAACTGTGCCCAAAAGGCAACCAAACTGTGCATACCTTGTGACCCAGAAATACCAGTACTAGGTCTGTATCCCAAAGAGATCACTAAAAAGGGAAAAAGACCTACATGTGCAAAAATGTTTATAGCAGCCCTTTTCATAGTGGCAAAATATTGGAAATTGAGGGGATGCTTATCAGTTGGGGAATGTCTGAACTTGTTATGGTATATGAATGCAATGGAATACTATTGTGCAATAAGAAATGATGAACAGACAGATTTCAGAAAAACATGGAAAGACTTACATGAACTGATGCAAAGTGAAATGAGCAGAACCAGGAAAACATTGTGCACACTATCAGCAACATTGTGTGATGATCAACTATGAATGACTCAGCTCTTTTCAGAAATACAATGATCCAAGACAAGTACAAAGGACTCATGAAGGAAAGTACTATCCACATCCAGACAAAGAACTGATGGACCTGCAATGCATATGAAAGCATACTTTTTTCATTTACTTTATTTTTTTCCATGTTTTTCCCCTTTTAATCTGTTTTTCTTCTTTTATAACTGTGACTGATGTGGAAAAATGTTTTACATGATAGCACATATATAACCTATATCAAATTGCCTACCATTTTAGGAAGAGGGGAGGGGAGGGAGGGAAGGAGGGAGAAAAATTTGGGACTCAAAATCTTATAAAAATGAATGCTAAAAATTGTTTTGACTTGTAATTGGGAAAAAAGAAAATATTATTTAAAAAAGAAAATATCTATTTTGTTATTTCTTACAACATGATTGATTGTCACATTTATATTCCAAGACTTATTCAGCCATTCCAGTTTTTTGCCACTACAAAAAGACTTATTATAAATACTCTTGCACATATAGGACCTTTTCTTCTTTCTTTGATCTTTCTTGGGTATAGGCCAACAGTGGTATTTCTGGGTCAGAGGGCATGCTCTGTTTTTTACTATAATTCCAAATTGCTTTCCAGAATGATGTTACCCATTCACAGGTCCACCAGCACTCCTTCAATGTGTGTGTTTTCCCACAGGGCCTCCAACATTTGCCATTTTCCATTATCATCTTCACCCCTCTAATAAATGCAATGTATATATAGAATTGCTTTAATTTACATCTGCCTAATTAGTAATGATTGGGAACATTTTCCATATGGTTATAGCTAGAGAGCCTTGGTTTCTACCCTCAAGAACAATCTGTTCATATCCTTAGGCTATTCATAAATTGGGGAATGGTTCTTTTTCTTGTAAGTTTGAATCAGTTTCTTGTACATCTTGGAAATGAAATTTTTATCAGAGAAATTGGCAGTAAAACTTTTTCCTGGTTCATTATTTTCCTTTTAACCTTAGCTTTACTAAATTTGTTTGTGCACAACCTTTTTAATTTTATTTAATCAAAATTATGCATTTTATCTTCTGTGGTCCTTGTTGGTCATTAACTTTTCTCCTATCTATTGCTCTGATAGATATTTTTCTCTAATTTGTTTTTGATATGACCTTTTAGATCTAGGCCACACATTCATTTGGAGTTTATCTTTGTAGAAGGTGTGGGGCGTTGGCCTAAACCTATTTTCTTCTATTCTGCTCTTCAATTTTCCAATCAGTTTTTGTTAAATGGTGAGTCTTTAGCCCAGGATCAGGGTCCTTGTGTTTATCAAATAATAAGGTATTAGATATATTTGTTTCTGTATGTTGGGTACTGAAACTATTTCTCTGATCGCTCTCTCTATTTTTCACCAATACCAAATTGTACTTTATAATATAGCTTGAAATCTGATGGTGTGAGATCCTCTTTACCACCATTTCTTTTTCATTATTTCTCTTGAGATTCTTGACCCTTTTTTCTTTTTATTGCTCTAATTTGCATCTGCCTAATTAGTAATGATTATTACTAATTATTAAGCCATTATTTTAAGCCACTAATTATTAAGCCATATAATAACAAGCCATTATTACTTTTTATAGATCTACAAGGTAATCCTTTAGTAGTTGAATTAATATAGCATTGAATAAGTAAATTAATGTAAGTAGTATCATTATTTTTTATCTTCTTGACTTATCCTACCTATGAGTAATTAATATTTCCCCAATTCTTTAATTCTGTATTTCTGTGAACATTTGTTTGCAGTTACATAGCTTTGTGTATATCTTGGAAGGTAGACTCCCACGTATTTTATACATTCTATAGAAATTTTAAAAGAACTTTCTCTTTCTATTTCTTTGCTAGATTTTATTGGTATTATAAAGAAATGCAAGTGATTTACATGGATTTAGCTTATATTCTCCAAATTTGCTTACCTTATTGTTTTAATTCATTTTAGCTGACTCTTTAAGGTTCTTTAAGTACACTCTCATATCATCTGCAAAAAGGGTTAACTTTTTTTCTTCTTTACCTGTGGTTATTCTCTCAATCTATTTCTTGTCTTATTGCTATGGCCAACATTTCTAGTACTAAGTCAAAAAGAAGTGGTGATAGTGGGCATTCTTGTCTCACCCCTGAATTCATTGGAAAGGATTCTGCTTTAATAATAGTATCTCTTGGTTTTAGATATATACCATTTATCATATTAAGGAAAGATTTATCAGTGTTATATAGTCAAAAACTTTTTCTGCATCATTATTATAATCCTGTTATTTTTGTTGATTTTAAAATAAATATAACTAGATACATTTATTGTTTTCCTAATATTAAAACTGATCATAATATATAATCTTTGTGAAATGTTGTTTTAGCTTCTTTGCTAATATTTTATTTAAATTTTTGCATCTCTGTTCATTAGGGATCATGGTCTATAGTTACCTTTTTCTGTTTTGACAGGGAGGAATTAGCAATAAGCAAAACAGACCTTGAGCTTGGAGAGGAAATAGTGAAGAAAAGGGGAAAAAGAGAAAGGATGATAACTCAAAATAAATAGAGAGGAGGAATACAGAGAAGAATAGAAGGGAAAAGAATGAACAATTAAGTCTTAATTTTGATTGTGAATAGTTTAAATTGACTCATAAAATGAAAGAAGTTAGCAGAATGGATTAGAAAGCAAAATGCAGCAATATGTTGTTTATAAGAAGTACACTTGAAACATAAAGATTCACATGAAATTAAAATAAGTGGTTGGGACAAAATCTATTATTTTGCTGTGAACACACACAAAAAAGCAGGGATAACAATTATGATTTCAGACAAGGCAACAGAAAAAAAACAGACTGAATTAAAAGAGGTAAAGAGAGAAACTGCATTTTGCTGAAAGGTAACATTTATTTCAGAATTTAGTAGACATGCACCCAATGTCATAGCTTATAAATGCTTCAAGGAAAAATTAAATGAATTATAAGCCTCTCTGTGTAAACAAGGCCTATGCAGAGAGTTTTATTCAACTCTAGTTAATGCTTGTCAAGATGACCTTGCCATGTTTCTCTTATAGATTGTAATTAGCATTGATGGAGCCTTGTGCAGAAACACCGTGTCTCCCTGGCTTGGTATGGATTCCAAGTGGCCACAAGTAAAGAAAAACTTCACTAAGAGTGAGGCCATGTGTCCCGAAGGCCAGCACCCTGTAGGGGACATCTGCTGCCAGTTATGCCCTCCTGGTAGGTACCTGACACATCTGTGTCTTTGGGGATAAGAGATGGTTTGTGGGTTGAGGGGAGGAGTTTAGCAGATGATGGCAAATTGCTTTCAACATGCCAGGGGATTCTTGTGAAAGCCTCCTAATAACTCCTCACTGGGGCTGCTCATGTCCTGGCACAGCTTCCCCTGCACTGTGCCTCTGGGAGGATGCATATGATGAGAAAGGGGCTGACCATATGGTGGGTGGCAGGCAGACAGAGGGGCTGCCCAGATAGTGGGCAGATGAGGCTGCCTCTATTGTCCTAGATAAAAACACCAACCGCTGTGCTTGGTATCTAAGGCCTTCTTTCATGATCTGACTCCAGCCTCAACTCCCATTTACTGATCATCTTTCCCTGTTGGAAGGTAAGTGCATTGAAGGCTGTTGGGAACTCTTTCTTTTGGCTTGTATGATTCCCAAGTGCTTTGCTTGGAGATCAGTAGATTATAAGGGCTTAATGGCCACTAGGGGGCATCACAGTGCAGAGAGATACAAGCCTGAAGTCAGGAGAAGCCCTGTTCAAATCCAGCCTCAGACATTTGCTAGCTGTGTGACCCTGGGCAAGCCATTTCACCTGTTTGTCTCAGTTTCCTCATCTGTAAAATGGGGGTAATAATAGCACCTATTTCCCAGAGTTATCGTGAGAGTCAAATGAGATGATATTTGCAAAGTGCTTAGCCCAGTGCCTGACACATAGTAGGTACTATATAAATGTCAGCCATTGCTATAATTATTATTATTACTATTATTACTTGTTGCCAGCCTTTACAGGCTTATTGCACACACCTCTCCTTCATGCATGGTGCATTCCAACCAGCCTGATTTTCTTGCTTTGCCCCATTTATGAAATTCAATCTCCTGCCTCCATGACTTTGCACAAACTGTCCCCTATGCCTGGAATGCCCTCTCATTACTGTAGCCTCTTGGAATTCCTAGCTTCATTCACATGGGAGGCATTTCCTGATCCCCCTCCCTGTCCCCCAGTTATTAATATTCACCTGGTCTGAAATGACTTTGTTATTTACTCGTCTGCATGCATGCTACATACTCCAGTGGACTATAAGCTCCCTGAGGGAAAGGAGAGTTTTATTTTTGTCTTTGTATCTCCAGTCCCCAGCACATGCCTGGCCCACAGCAGATGCTTGCTGGATCAACTCAAACCGAATGTCTGCCTACCTTCTCAAGAACGCCAAAGCACTTAGGGGGCAGGCCTGAGCTCCTGGCACCATCTTCTGATGCAGATGAGTCATATCTGTGGGTTGGAGCCTCTGCCCTCCTGGGGTAGCCCAGCACCTCCCCCCAGATAACGGAGCACTTAGCAAACAGGGTCTGCCCAGGGTTTGAGTATGCAAGGGGTATTTGCATTTTCCATCCAAGAGGCAGAGTGAGCTAGAAATACTGCCAACAGCACTACCCCAGTACTGGCTGCAAAAAGCAACCCAGCTAGGGCAGGAAAGCCTACAAGCAGCAACAACAAATTAGAAATCCCACAAAATGCAAATATGACAGCAGCTTTTGAAGGAGGAGGGCAAAGAGATCTCTAGCTTAGAACGGCCATGGGCCCCCCACCCCTCAGCAGCTTCAGCTGGACAAGACAGGATGACCAAGCAGGTCAGAGTTTTAGGAGGAGGCAAGAGTCTGAGTGCTAAGTGCTCCTAGACCTCAAAGTCAGAGGCTCTGGGTTCAAATCCTGCCATCAATACTTACTACCCTTGGCTTTAGGTAACTTCTCTTGACCTTGGACTCTTTCTCAGTGAGAATCACCTCTGAGATCCCTGGAACCTCTAACTCCGATCTTTTGATTCAGTAAAATCGTTTCATTGCCCTGGGCCTCAGTTTCCTCCCTTGTAAAATGAGGAGGTTCCTAGATTTCTTCCAAAGTCCCTGCCAGTTCTTACTTTCTGGACCATGGTCTGTGTGATCTCCCAGCCAGCAACGGGAGAGTTGGCCTTTGATGGGATAAAAAGAACAGAGCCTTTGAAGTCAGGCCCTGGTGGGTTTCCCAGATATATTACTATAAAGGCAGCATAGTACAATGGTTAGGACACTAGACCTGGAGTCAGGAACACTTGGGTTCAAATCCCATCTCAGACATTTAGCTGTGTGACCCTAGGAAGTCATGTGACTTCTTCATGACTCTGTTTCCTTAGGTGTCAAATGAGCACTCAGAGAGTTATTTAGATAATCAAATGACAATGTAGAAAGACAGTGTTGTTCTACGGAAACCCACTGGACACGAGGTAAAAACATCTGAATTCAAATCCTGTTTCAAATCACTTACCTGGTCTAAGCCTCAGTTTGCTCATTTGTCAGCTAGGGATGATAATAATAGAGAAGATGCCCAGAGTAGATGGCTAGATGGGATGAGAATTCATGTCAATAAAACAATCATTTATTAAGCACCTAGTAAGTGACAGGCAACGTATTGATGCGTTCTCTGCCCTCACTTTACCCTACGCACGCACTTGTCTTCGTGAACACATGTGTGCATACGGTGGACATGCTTCCGTTAAGATGCCCCTTTAGGCTAGACATGGACTTGGGATCATTGGTATAAGAAAAACCCCAGGAAAGAAATTCTCTCTTCCAAACACTGCTTCAAGTGTTGCCTGGGGCACCAAAAGGTCTGGGGATTAGGACTTGAACCGAAATGTTTATTGCTCCAAGGTCAGTTCTCTGTCTTTGTCTCTGTCTCTGTCTATCTGTCTGTGTATCTCTCTCTCTCTCTATCTATCTATCTATCTCTCCTCTCTCTCTCTTTCTGTCTCTCTCTCTCTTTCTGTCTCTCTCTGTCTCTCCTCACCTCTGTCTCTGTCTTTCTGTCTCCCTGCCTCTCTGACTGCCTCTCTCCTCTCCCTCTCTGTCTCTGTCTGTCTCCTCTCTCTGTCCATCTCTCTCTCTCTCTCTCCCTCTCTTTGTCTCTCCCTCCTCTCTCTCTCTTTCACTGTCTGTCTCTCTTTTCCCTCTCTCTATATCTGTCTCTCTCTTTTCTCTCCCTATCTCTATCTCTCTCTGTCTCTCTGTTTTTCTCTCTGTGTCTCTGTTTCTCTCTGTGTGTCTCTGTGTGCCTCTGTCTTTGTCTCTGTCTCTGTCTCTCCTCTCTCTCTGTTTATCTCACTCTCTGTCTGTCTCTTTATCTATCTATCTATCACTCTGTCTCTCTGTCTACCTCTCTCCTCTCCCTCTCTGTCTCTGTCTGTCTTTCTCCTCTCTCTGTCCATCTCTCTCTCTGTCTCTCTCCCTCTCCCCCTCTCTCTTTCACTGTCTCTGTCTCTCTTTTCCCTCTCTATCTCTCTCTTTTCTCTCTATTTCTATCTCTCTCTGTCTATCTCTGTTTTCTCTGTGTGTTTCTCTCTGTGTGTCTCTGTGTGTCTCTGCATGTCTCTGTCTCTCTGCCTCTGTCTCTGTCTCTTTCTCTATCATGCCATCTCCCTTACCTAGTGCCATTAACAATAACATTTTCTGCTCATCTTCTCCCTCATCCACCCTTTTCATCTTCTTTTTCTAATTCTCTTCCTTGGTAGTAGCCAGCATCCCAGGACAAACTTTCAAAGAAAGCCTTGGTAAAGATGCCTTTCCCTTCCAGGCTGTTCCCATTACTCCTTTTCTGTTTTGCTTTGTTTTGTTTTTCTGAGAAGGGAACCATTTAAAGCATGCCCTTGGGGGAAGCGGAGGAGGGCCCTCAATGTAATCACACCGTGCCCATGCTCCCCTCCTCCCTCCTTGTGTGGAGCTGAAATGCGGTCTTGGGTTGCATTCTGTGTGTCATGATGATGAGGACAAGGGAGGTCAGAGGGCATGATGACTCTAGCCAGACCACCTCTAGAATATTGTGGTCACTCCATGTTAGGAAGGACATTGGATCATCTCAAGCATGTCCCTGGAAGGACAAACATGGTGATGAAGGGCCTCAAGGTCATGCCATATGGGCATGTGTGAAGGAAATGGGGCTGTTTAGCCTAGAAAAGAAAGAGAGCTATCTGCAGGTATCTGAAGGGCCACAGGGAAGGGCCAGTTAAATCCTTCCCCATGGAAGGAGGAAGGATTGTTTTTTTCGTCTCCAGAGGGCAGAACCAGAAGCAATGGATAGCAGGGACAGAGGGGCAAACTGTGTCTTGGTGTCTGGAAAAAACATCTAATGATGAGTGGTGTCCAGACTACGTGGTACGGCTGCCTTGGAGGCTGTGCCTTCTTTACTGGAGGCCTTCAAACAAATGCTGGACAGCTCCTCTCAGGCATGTTGCAGTGTGGGACCAGATGGGCTCTGACATTCCAAGAGGCTGTGATTCTCCTTTGAAGGGTTCTCATGGCTCTCTGAGACTGGGGGGAGGGGAAAGGGAAAAGGATTCACAGGGAAATGGGTGTGTAAGAGAACCCCAGGAAGTCTCTGAAGGAGAACAGTGACAATCACCATAATAACACCCAAGTTGAAAGCACTTTCAGCACCCTCGTGAGGTAGCACACATCTGGGTTATTATCTCCATTTGACAGCAGAGGAAACTGAGGCTCATAGAGATAATGTTACTTGTACAGGGTCACACAGTTGAGCCTCAGTTTCCTCATCTACAAAATAGGTATAATACCACCCACAGTTTCTACCTCTCCAACCCATTGTGAAGCTCAAATGAGAAAATATCTGAAATGCACTTTATAAATGTCCATTGGTCTTCTTTCTCCTTCACTTTAGAGAGCTCTTCTGTTTGTCTTCAACTTTAGACAGTCAACAAGCATTTGTGAGCCCTGAGGATATAAAGAAAGAAAGAAACACAGTCCCTGTCCTCGAGGAGTTTCCAGTCTAATGGGGGAGAGAACCTGTATGCAGCTCTCTATGCTTACAGGATACACTGGAGGTCATCTCAGAGGGAAGGGCAGGGCCCTCACAGAGGGAAGGCAGGATCTGAGCTGGAGCCTGAAGGAGGCCATGGAAACGATCACTTGCCATTTCTTATGGTCATCAAATGTCAGAGTAGGAAGGGGCCTCCAATTCTGAACAAGATTCGTCTCTATATTGTGCTTGATGAAGGTTCCTTCAGACTTTGCTTGCAGACTCCCAAAGAGGGGGAGCCCACTAGAGGGCCTCACCATAAGAGTGAGTGTTATCCCTCACCCCCATGCAAACGGCTACCCTCTAGCCAAAGACCAAGGTGGGCTCATTCCTTCTCTGATCATATTTTTGCATATTTTCAGGGGTGTGCTGGAACCGGCTCATGTTCTTGAGAGCTGATTGTTAAATTTTCAGTGTAAGTGTTTACATCTCAGAAATGGGCAATGTAAAACATTTGCCAACACACCCTTACAAACTTTCCTCTGCTCTCGGACAGGCACGAAGAAAGCTTTTGACTGTGTGATGGACGGTGGCAAACCAACCTGTGCAAACTGTGCCCCCGGGGAGGATTACACGGACCACCCTCACTATTATGATAAATGTCTGCGGTGCGGCCTTTGTGATGGAGAGCATGGTAAGTCTATCAAAGAAGAGCAGAAAGCCTCACACTCCACACGGAGCCCGTGTTCCCTTCACACAGATAGAGCCGCAGACAGAACGCACCAGCCGGTGCAGTTCAGGAACATTTCTTTCCCGTCTATGACATGCAGGGAGCCATGCTAGTCATTTCATGTACAAATAGACATTTTCCTGTAGGGCTGAAGGAAGAAGGACATTCATAAATGTTCACAGAGAATTAAATTCAGGACATATGCTGAAAATGAAAGTCTAGAAGCTTTGCAGTTTATATTAATTTAAATCATTCATTCGATGCACAGTGGTGTGTGAGGGGTGGGCTAGAGGAGACACTGGCAACTAGGAGAACCAAGAAAGAGTCTCACGAAGGAAGAGCATTTGTGGAGGAGAGTAATACGAGGAACGTACCGGCACCTAGCACGTGAGAGACAATGGATTGGGGCAGCCTGAGAGAGGGCTAGCACAGGCAGCCCAGCCAACAGGAGAGGACAGGAGGATACTGAAAGTCTCTGCAGACAAGGGGTCTGCACCGGTGAACCTTGACACAGCCAGGGGACGGAGGATGCTCCCAAGACACCCAAGGGACGCTACTTTCCCTGAGCTCGTGGGCCACATTCGGACCGCTCAGAAGCAGTATGGCCCAGGATGAAGGACCGCACCAGGAAACACACAGACACAGGCTGGAGAAAACCACCGTGGTCATAGGGCCGAGCTTGCCAGAGCCCAGTGCTCTGTCACCTCGCCTCTCTCCTCTCTCTCTTTCAGCCTCACGTGCCTCTGGTTGAGTTGTTTCCCCCCATTCCTCACTGATCACCCGGATCTGCGGCTTTGGGGAGTCCCCGGCTCCTCCATCTTGTTCCCTGCTCAGTCATTTCTGCCTCCAGCACACCTGGTGTGTCTGTTCTTCCCCAGCCTCGTCCAGGCTCCGGCTTAGTTCGGGCCTCGCTCTCTTTGGCCTAGACTGTGGCATTAGCCTTCTGCTTGGCCTCCTCGTCCTGTACCTCTCCTGTCTCTATACAAGCAGTAAAGTGATTTTCTTACAGCTCAGACCTGACCCACCTCAATAAACGCCCTCTGTTACCCGTAAGATCAAATAGAAACTCCTTAGTTTGGCATTTGAAGTTCATCACAACCTGGCCCCTTCCAACCTGCCCACACATTGCTCCTCTATACCCTTCACAGTTTAGACCCATCTCCCTTCTCCAGGCCTTTGCCCTGGCTATGCTCCTGCCTGGAGTGCTCCCCCTCCCTCTCTCTGCCTCTCAGCATCCCTGGCTGCCTTGACCACTCTGCTCAGGGGCCACCTCTTGCATGAAGCTTTTCGTAGCTCTCCCAGCTGCTGGTGCCATCTTTTCTAAGGTTATCTTGTTTCTACTTTGCATATATCTCATATATGCCTATATATATATATGTGTGTATATATATATATATATATATATATATATATATATATATATATATATATCAACTCACCCATTTGAATGCGCATTCCTTGAAGGCAAGGAACGTTTCAATGTTAGCACAGTACCTGGCACATAGTAAGCTCTTACTAAATGCTTGCTGATGGATAGACATGAACAGTAAGGAAAAAAGTCATAATTTGCCAAAAAAAATTATTTTATTAATTTACTTAATTTGGCAAATATTTCTATTTGCACCTACTCTATATGAAACATATACTGCTGGGTGCTGGGTAACAAAGCTAAAAAGGGCCACAGTTCCTGACCTTAAAAAACATACATGCATCCTATCCTTATCCCTCCAAGGTAAGGTGAGATGAGACAGAAGAAAAATCCAGACAGAGTTCTCTAGGAAGATTTGAGTAGGGAGAGAAACGATCCAGTCGTGGGGAGGTGGTGCCCAGTTAAGACTGGAAGCAAGAAGTCAGAGGTTCTGAAGGAGGGCACACTTCTAGGGCTAAGAGATGGCCTACAGGAATGCACTAGGCAAGGGAGGGCAGCAGGTGGCATTCCAGTCTAGCTGGCATATCAAGTGCACGAGAAGGAATTATGTGAAAAGTCAGTAGGAGCCAGGTCAGGGATGGCATTAAATATCAGGGGAAGTGACAATAGGGATTTCTTGGAGATGTTTGAGTACAGCAGGGTAAACCTGGTGGTTGTGAGGAGAAAAGATGGAGTTAGTGGACTGGCAGATGTTCCAGATAATGATGGAGACCCCTGTGGAATTTCTTTTTAGGCTTGGAAGTCAGAAAGAACTGTACCACTCTTCAAAATGTCGTATGTGGATGTGCCAAGCACTTTTTTTGCAACAGCCCTGAGTGTAAGCACTGTGAGCCCTGTGCCCAGTAAGTCTAATGTTCTTCGTTTCTCAGTCTAAGATACTCTGGGTATGGGCTCTCAAGGGGAGCTTACTGGAGGCAGCCCTCCAGTGCAGAGCACAGATTGGGAGCCAGGACCCTCATTTCTCATCCTAGTCAAGCCACTTCTCCTTTCTGGGTCTGTTGAGAGTTTTCCAGAAGATGATCTCTCTGGCATCCTTCTTGTAGAATTCCATGATCCTAACTTGTGTAGTAAGGCAAGGGATAGAATATAAGTGCCTCCCTCCCTAAGTGTGGGATAGAGGAAAATGCTGCCAAGAGACTCTGAGGTCAGCCCCGTCCCCTCAGCTTCTCACTAACCTCCTAGATTCACCACCATTACCACAGGTCACTGCCCCATACCTCCCAATTCGAACTCTATGCATAAACCCGACCATTAGCTGTCATCCTTGCTTTTTACCTAGAGACTTTACCCCCTACCCCCTTCCTGGCACTGTAAAGAGTACCATGACCACCCCAGGGCTGATTATTATAGGCTTGAATGTAAGCCTCACGAGGGCAGGGACTGCTATGCTTTTGTCTCTGTATCCTCAGAGCTTGGCTTTATAAAGGATGGTCCATTGATGGACAGATTGATTGAGTAAGGAAACCTACTTCTGGGGGGCCCTGGGGAACAGTGCTGGTGGTGGAGGAATCATGATGGGGAGAGGAAAAAGGGATGGGCATGATTTTGTTTTTGCCCTTGTAGCCCCACTGTCTGGCACATAAGAGATAACATTTAATTAATTCTCAATGAATGAATGAATAAACTTTTACTCCTGTAAGATTCCCATAAGATTAATGAATAGGTCAGGAAAAAATCACAAGCACCAACTTTTTAGCATCAGTAAAGTGAGGGGGCACAGCTAATTCCCACCTTTCCAAGTCAGATATTCTATGATGTCCCCAACATGGTCCCCTCTCCAGGTGTGAACACGGCATCCTTGAGGAATGCACTGAGAACAGAAATGCCGTCTGCCACGTGGGAGGTAATGGATCTTTTTCCATGTGTCTTTTCCCTCTCTGTCCCCCAACGCCAAGAGCAGGAAGAGGCAAGGTGGCATCAGGGCACCTTGGAATAACAGGCCACTCTAGGAAGGAGCTCCCCTTGCTTTCTGCAGAGCCTCATGGGAACTCCACATGGGGGCGGAGGCAGGAGGGGGGTAGTTTCCATCTAACTTGTCACTTCCTTAAGTCCCAAGGAATAAATGGCTCTATCTGCTGTTGCTGCTGTCAATCCTGCCTATAATTCTTCTCATCATTTATTGTAAGTGCCTTCTTTTTTCACATTGTCCCTGGAGGGGGTTGAGACTATTATTAATTATATAATGATTTATATTTATATTTATATTCTGATTGGCAGCATGGGTTAGTGCATTAGACTCCCTGGACTCAGACCAATCACCGATGCTTACTAAATGGATGACTGTGGGCCTTTTAACCTTGCTAAGCCTCAATCTCCTCATCTGTAAAATGGACTTTGTCATTCCCATAGTAATGCCTTGCAAGTAGATGAGAGAGAGATTTTTCTGTCAAACACTCTCCAAATTCTAAAGCTCTCTGGACATCTCAGTTACTAGACCAGGAACCTGCTGACATCTGGCCCATAGGGTCCTAGATTTAGAACAGGAAGGGACCTCAGAGGTCTTTCCTCTACCACAACACCATCATTTTACAGATATGAAAAATGAGGCAGGGATTTTATAGGATTGATATTTTGAGAGAGAAGAGGCCTTAGAGGGCATCAAGTACAACCCCCTAATTTTACGGTTGAGAATACTAGGCTCAGAGAGGGTAAATGTTTGGCTCAAGGTCACACAGCTAGTAAGTGTCAGGGGCAGGATTTGAACTCAGGTCTTCCCGACTCCAAGTCCAGCACCCTATCCACCGCACCACTGGACTGGACTATTGTATGGGGATGGGTGGGTGGGAGTGTGGGGGGATGGGTGGGGGTGGAGGTGGATGGATGCAGATGAGGGGTGACAGTTTCCCACATGAGAGTATTTGGAAATGGCCCAGGACTGTGTGACAGGTTGAGGCAGTTCAGGCCAGTCCTGAGACCCTTGCTGGGGAGATTGAGACAGTTTCAAATCAAGCACAGTTGGGAATGCTGTGAAAAGCTTGGGGCCCCCTATCCGTTTTGGGAAAGATCTGACTTCTTGTCTGGATTTTCATACTCTGAACCCAGGGGGATTGGAGGGGATGCTCTCTGAGGGCCTTGCAGTGCCTTGCTTTGTCTGTCTCAGAGAGGATTCACTGCTGTTGTTTCGCCATTTTAGGCTGGAGAAGAAAATGCAAACAGAATGTCTATACCTGGAAAGTTAGAAATGAGGTAGGTATTAATCATTGTTAAAGGGTAGTGGATGGGTCCGTTCCTCATGCCATCCACAAGGCTGGATGGGCCAGATTCCAGCCGTGAAGCAACTGGTTTCCCAGTCTAGTGTAACACGTACCATATGGACAAGACCTTAATGTTGGATGGCCATCCACTGACGTCATTTTGTCTTCTCCTTTACCAGTGAGGTAAAAGACATCTCAGACCACACAACAAGAGTGGGGAACCCTGAAGAAGGTTGGAGAGAGTATATATCACGATGAAGAATGGGTTTCATATTCCAGAAAAGGTCTCAGGAAAGAGAGTTGAGATGTTAGAGAAATAATGTCAAGATATGTTGGGGATTCCTTTGATTTCAGTCATCAGGCACTGAAAATATAAATGGCAATAGCTTCAGGGCAGTTATCTCAATAGAAATGTCTTAGAGTCTATCCTCATTTTACAGATGGAGAAACTGAGGCATAGGGAGATTTTTTTTTAAGTGACTTCCTCAAGATCACGAAGACAGTAAGCATCAGAGATGTGTTTCAAACACAGTTTCTTCTGACTCCCAAGTCCACCACATTGTAGTATGGAGGTGACCTGAGATTCTTGGAGGCTCTGTTAGTGAAGTACAAGTTCTGACAGGTCCTGCCAAATATAAAGGCTCATAGGGAGAAAGTATCTGCTATGGCCACATTTTGGATTAGCATCTGGTCTCCTAACTCCAGCTGCAACATTCTTTCCACTCTATCAGTGCTCTAGAAAAATTGTGGAACCCCAGTTGCTCCAAGGAACTCCCCCATTGCTAATAGGGAAAGTCTTTGGATAGGATTGAAAACATTGTTCAATCCTGCACATGCAAAGATAATGCTTCTTACTCACCATCAATTTTGCCAAGGCTCCAAGTTGTTTTCCTGGGAACAAGGTAACTGAACCACATCTCTGTTTCCTGGTGCTCCCTTGTCACCCAGACATTTTTAAGATGGCAGGTGAGGATGATGGCTACACTTTAGGGCAGTCACACAATACGGTGGAAGCAACATTGGATTTGGAATCAGAAGACTGGGTTCTAATCCTGGCTTTTTATTTGAGTGACCTTAGCCACTCAGTTTCCCTATCTGTAAATTGAGAGGGTTTGTTGAGATGACCTTGAAGGGCCCTCCCATCTCTACATCTGTGGTCCAGTTATTATGTAATAGATTGGAGCTACTAGGTCAATACAGGGTTGAACTAGGCCATAGTTTGACCATTGGCTCTGTGCTCCAACTAAGTAAAATGTATGAAAGTTAAATACCCTATCAGGTTCAGATAGAGACAAGCTTAGAAGGGTGGGGGAGGGTCTATATGTATGCCTCTCTGTCTCTGTGTATCTGTCTGTGTCTGCATGTGTGTGTGTGTGTGTGTGTGTGTGTGTGTGTGTGTCTTTTTGGGTATGTATGTATGTGTGTCTGTCTATCTCAGCATCAGTTATGCCCAGGCTGTCTTTTTAAATGGTGACTCAAACTAAGTCACTTATGTAGGTGTTTTAAGAATAAAACTAAATATGTAATTATTATGGAATTAAATTGGGGGAGGATGAGAAGGAAAGATGGGTCATACCATTGTGTAGAAGAAGGAGCAGAGAATGTTCTGTCAGATTTTTCAGAGTCTTTTTATTGGGTAGAGCAGAATCCTAGAATCTTAGAGTTACAAGGGCATTGAGTCCAAGCCATACCTGACCAAGAATCCCCCCTCCACCATGCTGCTTGTGCAGCCTCTACTTGAAGCCTTTGGTTCAGCTCTTACACTTAGGAAAGTTTTCCTTACGTCATGACTAGATCTCTCTCAACAATATCCACCCACTTCATGGCTCTGTCCTTTGGGGTCAAGAAGAACAAGTCTAATCCATCTTGAAGACCCTCCTCCCCTAAGTCTTATTTCATCTCTGATAAGCTCCTCGTTGCCTCAACAGAACCTCAGGTGACTACACTGTGATTGTCCTCTTCTGGGTGCCTTCTACTACCAAGTTCAGCATCTTTTCTAAAAGGTCACACCAAACTAAACACAGTATTCCACATATGGTATGGCCATAGTAGAAGGGAACTGGACCATCATTTCCCTTGTTCTAGACACAATGCCTCTATTAATTTGGCCTAGAGTCACATTAACCTTAAGCTATCATGCCAACATTTTCATTCATTGTCCTTGCTGTTCACCAAAATTCCTAAATCCTTTTTATGCAAACAACTGACAAGCTACATTTCCCTCATCCTTTACTTGTGATGTATTTTTATTGCATCTAGGTATAGAAGCTTGCGTGTATCCCTATTGAATTTTATCTTCTCAGGTTTGATCCATCATTCCAGCTGGCTGAAATCTTTTTGAGTCCTGTTTATGTTATTCAATGTCTTAGCTGTCCCTCTCAGGTTTGGGTCATCTGAAAATTTGATAGACACATGTGTACACCCAAACACACACACACACACACACACACACACTTAGGCAAATGGCAGGATGGGCAAGCCCAGAAGTTATCTGGTGACCATCTTTTGGGGACAGTGTGTAGAAGAGATCACTGCAGGAAAAGAAGGGGGTGTCAAGTAGAATAACCTCTAAGGTCCTGTCTAGTTGGGAAACTTCTGTAATACTATGATATTCATTTATTCTCTCTCCCTTCTTTTTCCCATAGGAAATCATTCCTCTGAGTTATAAAGGTAAGATATTCTTTTATTTTCCCAGATGCAATAGATTTCAGAATTACAGCCTTCCCTCCAATTCTACTGCAACATTAAATTAATTAATTACATGCATTAAATTAAATCATTACATGCTCATTAAAAAATAATGGCATGTACCCAGTAGCTGCTAAGTAATTGTTTGTTGAATTGAAATGACACCATTACAAAGAAAAACAAACTTTGAAAGACTCCAGAGTTCTGATTAGTGGGGTAACAAACTGTGATTCCTTAAGATGGCTGCTAAACTCTGCTACGCACCTCCTCCCAGAGAAAAGATGGACTCAAGATGCAGAATGGGTCATCCCTTTGGGAGATGGCCAATGGTGGAATCTGTTTTGTTTGCATATTGGTTTTGAGGACTGTGTTATTTTTCTTTTTTCTCTAGTGGGACAAATGGAAGGAAGGAAGAAAGGAAACAAGTATTTATTAAGCATCTGCCATGTGCCCGGCACTGTGCTAAGTGCTTTAAAATATTTTCTCATTTGATCCTCACAACAACCCTGTGAGGGAGGTGCTATTGCTATCTCCACTTTACAGATGAGGAAAATGAGACAGACAGAAGTTAAATGACTTGCCCAGGGTCACACAACTACTAAGAGTGCACCTGGATTTAAACTCAGATCTTCCTGACCCAGTGGTCTTCACTGTGCCATCTAGATGTTATTGGGAGGAGGCAGTAAGGACCTGGGAAATCCTGCAGCCTTGCTTTTCCTTGGACTTAGCTCCTGACCTCTTAGTTCCCTTTTGCCTTTAAATGGACTATCCTTTGGTTCTCCTCCTGGCCCTCCTGACAGTTCCTTCAGCCTGTTTGAATACTTCCAGGGATGGGGGACTCACTACCTACCAAGGCAGCCCCTTCTGCTTTTGAATAGCTCTCATTGTCATTGAGTTTTCCTTTTGTTGAGCCAGAATCTTTGATGGGGGTGCAGCTGTTCCTGCCAAGCTCCCACCAGCAGACTCCATCTTTCATGGGGCCCTGGCCAAAAAAGTTTCCTGTCCCATAGCCACCTTCACTTAGTCCTCCTTAAAAACCATAATCCCAGGCAGGCAGAAAGATTCCAAAGCTACTTACAATGTCATGCCATCTCAAAACCAGCCTGCACCGTTCAGACAATAACCATACCAAGACTATTTGTAAGCCCTTGCTGTGTGCAGAACACTGAGCTAGTGCTGAATGTTTACATGAGACACAGCTCCTGCCCTCACAGGGCTTATAGTCTAGAGTTGGGGTGGGGGAGAGCCAAGTGTCCTCACAGGTGAGTCTGATCCAGAACTCTGTGTGAGTAATACATTTTATCCAGATTGGATCTCCTCAGCCTGGGGAACTCCCAGTATGGAAACCTCCCCACCTCCTGCACCACAGATCTGAAACTTGCCTGAGACATTGGGAGACGAAGAGACTTGTCCACTGTCATGCAGCTAGCTTGTGGCAGAGACAGGCTTCAAACCCAGGTCTCCCTCACTCTGAGCAAGCTTTTCATCCACTGGACTCTGGTGCTATTCAGGTTCAAGGTGGAGGAGGTGGGAGTGGCGCAGTCTTACAGAGGCAAAAGCAGCTGGTTCAAATCTATTTGCCAGATGGCACAGAGGAGAGGGCCTGGGACTTGGGCTTGGGAAGACCTGGTTCTTGTCTGTGTGATCCTAGACAAGTCACTTAAACTTTCTGAGCCTCAGTTTCTTCATCTGTAAAATGAGGGGATTGTACTTAGCAGTCTCTAAAATGGGAGATCTTAACTTGGAGTCTGCAAACCAGGAGGTGGCAATTATCATTTGCTTTTATTATTTGGATAAACTCTATTTCAGTTTAATTGGTTTCCTTGTAATCCTGTGTATTTTGTTCATTTAAAACCATTATTATGAGAAGGAGTCCCAATGTACTCTGCAGGCTTCTGTAAAAATCAGATAATTCATGAGGATCAGGGGGTCAGAGGGAGGGGTGTCTTTCTCTTCTTTCTAGCTCTTGGGGTCACTTGGTTGTGGAGGAAACAATCCAGTTCGTGGGCCTTGGTTTCCTCCTGTGTAAAATGAGGACAGGTTGGACTACCTCAGGAGTCCTTCTGCTTGTGTATGTCCTGACCCCTTTAGCAGAACTATCCAGCCTCTGGTCCCCTTCTCGGAAAAATGTTGTTAAATGCACAAGATAAAGTAGGTAGGATTTTAGAGGAAACCAACCGCATTGAAATAAAGCCATGTGGACCCCAGGTTATGGACTCCTGGCCTCAGTGACCTTGAAGGCCTCCCCCAACTCTACAGCTAAGACCCTATGTTCCTAAAGGACAAAATTAAGTCATAAAAACTTCGCCCTTTGTGCACCTGTGAGAAAGGAATGAGCAGAGGTTTGTTTCAGAAATAATGCTTTTCATGGGCTATTTTCTGTCTGTGTTTATTTCTTGCTTTTCAGATATTGACTTGAGTACACATATTCCAAAAATTGCTGAGAAAATGGAACTAGACCAGGTTAGGAGGTTTGTCCGGAAGATGGGCACAACCGAAGTTAAAATTGACCAAGTCAAGAATGATTACAGCAATGACACGGAAGAACAGAAAATCCAGCTGCTGAAACACTGGTATGAGAGCCACGGAAAAAAGGGGGCATACGGACGACTCATCTTGGGCCTCAGGGACATCGGACTGCGTGTTGTTGCTGAAAAGCTACAGGAAGTCATCAGTGCCCACCCAGAGAATCAACCCGAAAATGGAAACTCCAGCGTTCTACACATCCAAGGCCTGGACTCCAGTTAGAAGTGTCTGGAGCCCTGTGCCTGTCCAAGTAGCTTCTGAGACAGTGAAGAGAGAGGGGGATAGTAAAATCAGCCCTCATTCCAAGGTCCCATGTAGTCTGGGATGTAAATATAATGACTTTAAAAGCAGTTTTTCTTTTGTTACGACATAGATATTTATATAAGAGTATCATCCCAATCTACCTGTGTAAATCAGGCACTCTGGGAAGGTCTCCCCTGCCTCTCCCCACCCTCCCACTCCCAAGAAAACAACCTTTCTTTATTTCTGGCTCATGTCTGTATTTCCACCATTAAAACTTTGGCCCCGCCTTCTATGAAAGGTTAAATGCCCAAAGAAAAGTGTGGAGACATGGACTTACTTCATCTTGTAATCTGCTTTTATTTTCTATCAGAGAGGCAAACAATTTGGGTCATTGATAGATCCCACAGACTTATAGCTGCCCACCCTTTCTAATCCCAGAACCAGGTCCCTTTCCACCTCCTTGACCTTTGGGAGAGGATATATATCTTTCCTGGACTCATTAAAGCAGCACCTCCCTCCCGGTCAAAATTTAGGATGTAAAAAGATAGGACCCCAGGAAGACTGGCCAAGATAGAGGAGTAGAAGGAATCAGTACTACTGAGATCTGCCCTAAAGCAACTCTAGCGAAGGCCTAGGAAGAGTGCCAGATGGAGCAGTGATTGGGAAATCTGCAGAGAAAACAGTGAGTCGTTTTCCTAGGAACAAGGGCCAGCCAGCGGCTATGTCCTTCTGGCCCCAGAGATAGGTTGAGGATCCAGTGGACTGAGGAGGGGATCTGCAGCTAGACCTGACCTCTGGCCATGTTCCAGGACAAGCAGTAGCTGTGTGGCACTGACCCCAGAGAAGGGTTGCAGATTCAGTCCTGAGCCTATTACTGAGTAACCAGAAAGTTCAGACTAAAAGGGAACCTATCGTTCTATCACTGTGAACCTATGGAGTCTTTCAACTAACTAACAGGGACCAGCAGTCTACTGGACCACCAACCAAAGGAAAATCTACAGTTGTGTTACCCAGACTCAGACTGAGTTCAGGAATTGACAAAACTCTGACAAGGAAGGTAGTGATCAGACTGTTTTGAGCACACTGAAAGTTAACAGTTTCCTGGACTGAATTGCCCCGAGATCCCTGAAGAATACAGTATTCAGTATCCAAAGAAAGCAGTAGCAAATCCCCAGAGAACTCAAATCCGGACCAAACAAGGTCCCAACATTCCCTCCAAAAGTTCCCAATTCAAGAAGCAAGTCTAGAAGAATGGGTCAGCAACACCAAAAAAAGACTCCTATCATAAGGAGCTATTAAGATACAAACCCCAAAGAAGAGAATAAATCCAAAATAAGCAAAGCTTCAAAAAAATGCACCTGGAGAAGCAGGCCCTGCCTAGGCCTGCCTGCCCACTCCAGTGGCTGTCCAGCTCAAGTCTTCAGGTACATTTATCCATCTTTCTATGAAAAAATTAAAATGGCTTCTATAGGAAAGACAGAGACAAGTAAATTAAAACAGAACTTAGAAGAACAATTGGACAGACTAATGCAATAGTTACAAGATCTGGAAGAACTGCAGAGAAAAGCTTGAAGCAGATGAATATGAAGAAACCAAAAAAGACACTCTGGAACAGCGGGGTGAATTCGAGGATTCGCTGAAGACAATTATGTCTGGAAACATGACTTTGGTAGACGAACTTAGTGGGATGTGACTGGCCATTCAGGCGGCCCTCAGCCAGAGGTTATCAGACTGTTTGCAAAGAAACAGCCAGGACAGCTGCAGACAAGATTAGCAGAGATGGACAGAGACCTGATGGTTGGAAAATGGAAAGAGATGTGTGCCCGCAACAGAAGCTGGAGATACTGACTGCCCCGCAGAACTTGGAGAAAAGCTGACTGCCAACGAGGCCTTCCTGTTCACAAATGCAGGTGCTCCCTCAGCCAGTTTGAGGAAGTCTCCACTAACTTTGGCTCTGGTGACAAAGTCCTCACTTTGGCAAGTTTTGAAGTGAAAAAAAATGATGAGGAGCTCTGTAGAATCTCGGGGCACTGGTCACCGTACAAATGACACCCCACTCCCCCTACTCAATGAAGTTGTGGCTCACCGCGCAGACACACCTGCTGGTCACTGGTTCATGCTTCTGCCCTCTTCCTTCCATGGTCATTCCCCAGCAGTCTGCTTTTTTAACTGTTACCATGGCAAGAAAATGAGAAACAGATTCTGTCCAAGCCCCCTTGGGAAGGGGATCGGGGGACCCAGAGCCCAATTTTTTGCTTTGTTTTCAGACCAAGTCATGATGTTCTAGGACGTAACTTGGCTTTAATCATTTTGACCTCGAGTTCGATCATGTGTGTTTCGAAGCTGATTTTCCTTTAAAATAACCTTGGTTAGACAACTGGTTGAAGTGACCAAGTTGTGGTGACCAGAAAAGAAAAGAGGCCCTACTGGGCCTCTCTCAGATGAGGTGAAATCTCAGCCGCTGGCAAACGGGGCACCTCTTTCTAAATGGCCTTTGGGATGAGCGCTCCCCAAAGTCTTCCCAGGGTGGAATGCAGTAGGAAATTGTTGGAGAGACAGTGTGCTGCTTAATGGTTCTGTCTGTGCCATGGACTCTGCTAGGGATCTGGTGTCTCATTAAAGGAGATATGAAAAGTGAATCACATCCTACGCAAACTGTAGTCATTAATAAGTTTCAAACTATGAAAAAAAAATGCACCTTGGCCTTGAGATCAAATAGATTTCCTGGATGAAATGAAGCATGCAACCCACCTCCTGACAAAAGCTACAGACTCGGGATACAGAACAAGACACATGTTTCTGGACGTGGCAAAGTCAGGAATTTGGTTTGATTGACCAGGTATATTTGTTACAAGGTTTTTGGTTTTTTAAAAAAAAAATTAACTCTTGAAAAAAATTAAATAAAAAAAATTTTTAAATTAAATTAAATTGATTGACTATTTCATGGTGTTTGAACAGTAGTTGTGCCTTTTGGTTGTGCGCTTGTTCTGTTCTGTTTTGTTTTCGCTGTGTGGTCATTTCAGTAGGGCCCGACTCTTCATGACCCCACTTGGGGTTTTCTTGGCAGAGATGCTGGAATGGTTCACCATCGCATTCTCCATGGCGTGCTCTAGCCCTTTTCATTTTGCATGAATGTTTGCCTGGCAACCTCAAACATCCGGCCACATGCCCCCCCACTCCAACTCACCCTACCAGTGATGTTTGACTGCACGAGATTCTTTCAAGGCTGCATGGTATCATCAACGAGGGTGGGATCCCTGCCTGCCCCGAGGTTGGTGAAGCAGATAACTTTAGGGCACCTCTTCTAGTCCTTTCTTCATGCAGGGAGGTGAGCGGTGTGCTGCTCGGACACCTAGGGCGCCGCTGAACCCCACTGTGGATTCAGTCCAGTGAGAAGATGACCTCATGGCCTGGGCCACCTGGGTGCAGCAGAGTTGTGACCACGGCTCCCCGTGTGTCCACACCTGCTGCGTAGTCACTACCTGTCACCACAGGACTGTGAGGTATGTAAAAATAGTAAAATGGCAGAGGCGATGCCATTCCAACGTAAGAATCTAGCACAAAGTGACTTAAGTAGAACCAAGAAAACACTAGAGTCAATGACTTTAAACAGCAGCCAACAACCGAACAACAGGAACTGGGTCTTTTGAAATTACAATGACCAGGTTTGGCCCCAAGGAAAAAATATGAAAAGACCCCTCCCTCTGCCTCTTTGCAGAGGTGGGGGACCGTGGTTGAGGAACACTGCATTACACAGTAATTTCAGACTTTTTCAATATGTTGGTTAGTTTTTCTGAACTTTTTTCTTCCTCTTTATTCTTTATTATAACGAAAGTCTTTTTGGGAAGAGGCTGGGGGGAAGCCAAGAAGTGACCTCATGGAAGACCCTGGTCCTGAGCGGAAGGCCGTGAGGGTGTTCTCTGCCTTTGGGACTTAGGGGTCTTATTTCATAATTTGAACATACAAGATTTTGGAGGCAGACAGGATTTTGGAGGCCAGCTCCAGGACACTGGACAAGTCACTTCTCATCTTTAGGGCTCAGTTGTCTCCTCTGTAAAATGAGGGTCTTGAAGCAGACAATTTCCAAGGCCCCTTCCAGATCTGAGTCCTGTGGTCATCTTTTTCGAATGGGGAAACTGAGGCCCAGAGAACTCAATTAGATTGCCCCAAGAACCTGCCCCATAAGAGGTGCTTAATTCATATTTATTGACTGTCTGTCTGCCCTATGTGGGTGGATCTGGGACCCAGCTGTAGGTCTTATGACCAGAGAGAGAGGACTCTGGCCTGGAGCTCCTGAGAACCCAGGCTCCTCCTCTCTGATAGCTTTTGGCCTCCTTGCCGGTGGCTTTCATCTTCCTGACTAATCTTTAGCTGCTGACAGCTGCTTTTTCCTGAGGATAGGAGAATCTATTAAGTGGATTGATTATTTGAACCCTTTGGCTCTGAATGACCACTCCACCTAAGGCAGACCCCTCATTGAGCTGAGGACAAGAACATGGAGATTTCCTGACTCTGAGTCCAGGTGTCTGTCCACTAAACCAGGCTGGCCTCCTTGAGAGAAGTAGTCTTAAAGGCTATTCTGTGACAGAGGGAGGACTGGAGTAGGTGGCCTTTAGGGGCAGTGGTGGAGCGGAGAATGAGGCGTTTGCTTCCGTTGATGTGGGGATAGGAGGAGCCCTGAATCACCTGTCCGGTGGCTGGACGAGCACCCACCCAACATACAAATTGACATCTCATTCTTTTTGGTCACAAGCACCTGGTGGGGCTGTATGGCAGGGCACCCGGGGTGAGTTAGACTGAAAGGTAAACACTCAGCACTCCACAGGGGACAGAAGGATAACTGAGCTGAACCTGCAGATTCAGGGCATCTTTGAAGACCAGCTGTGACTCGTTTCTTCTGCGGTGTGAGTAATGCGTTTGTTGAGAGTTTAATTCTGTCAGGAACCTGGCTTAAATCACAAAGGCGCATTTCTTCAAGCAGCTCCGCGGGGTTCTAAGCC